GCCCGGCCCCCTTCACCCCAATTTTTAAGGGAAAAATTGTAGGCAGCAAAATAATAAGCTAATGTTAATGACATTTTTACTTACCAATTTGAAGCTGCAGAGGTAAAACATGAAAAACTGTACATGGCAGGAGGCATGAGTGGGCAACAGGAGTTTGTCAAAGATGTTTATCAGATCGCGATATAAATCCTTTGTTTTGTTGTTATCAATCTTACCTAAGGAGAAAATCTGGCATTTCAGTTTTATAAATACCCACTTTCGAGCTACCAGCTTCATTTGCCAAAATTTTAAAAAGAACATAATAACCATTAACAAACACAACATTATCCATTAAGCTATGATTAAAACGTTATTTTTATTTGGCACAGATTTTCAAGTACAATAATCCAGTACTGGCAAGGAAGCAGGCCCTCACCTCATACACACTGCCTGATGCCATAAATGTGAGCCCTTCTAAAGGGCAATTTCACAATTCATGTAGCAGAAGCCCTTCGATCTAGTAAACTGCTTGGTTTGTTCAGTATAGTACCAACATGTGGCACAATGATGACACCAAGCAAAGACCCTCTAAACTCAATACATAACACTAAGCACCATGAATCAGTGCCTACTACACCATTCCTAAGTGTCTTGAGCAACTTGAGTGTAATTTGATCGCTGCCTAAAACTGACCAAACTACATCTATTATCGTTAACACACAGTCACTGAAAAGATGAGGAGCTTTGAAGACAAATACCAGTGAGCCTAAATCCCAGTCCCATTTCCAAGCCATGTGACATTGGCAAGTAACTTGACTTCTCTAAACACTTTTTAACTCATACTCAAAGAGTGATTTTTACAGGATTTTTAGAAGTACTAGAGATAATACGTGGAAAATGCCTAGCACAGACCCAGGTACACTGTAGGGGTTAAACACAGTGCAGCTATTGTGATCATTATAGGCTGTTACCATCTATGTAGCAGACATCCTTAATGTAGGATAAAAGCAAGGACAGCAGGATGTCCAGGCGTTCAGCTACAGGATGTACCATCTGACCTGGCCGTTCAGGATCAGCTTCTGTTTCACGTACAGTTTCTTCATCTTCATCCTTTGAGGATAAAAAGTAAAAATTGACATTAAAACACAATGTATACTATTCAGGTGATGGGTACACCAAAAGCCCTGACTTCACTACTATACTATTCATCTATGTATCAGAAAAACCACTTGTACCCCCTAAATTTATTGAAACAAAAAAAATAAAAAATCCGATGTGAAATAGTTTAGTGGGAAAACCCTCACAAATGATTACTTCCTCTAAAAGATAAAACAAAGAAAATACATAGACACCTTTGTAGGCAGTGGCTCTCATTCAGGGATGAATCAGAACCACCTGTTAAGTTTAAAATAAAAGCACAGATTCAGAACACCAGCTTCTGGTTTGCATTTAGAAAACCCAAGCAGATTGCCCTTGCAAACGTCACAGATTTCCCGGCCCCACAACTGCTGTTCCTAGCGCCACTGTGATGGGCACTGTTTATCTAGGTCCTCTTTTCCAGGTCAGGGTACCCATCTCCCACCTGATGTGAATATCAATAGCCAATAACTCACAGCTGCTTACCTCCTCCAGAGAGCTGCCCTCAGGATGAGAGCAGCCAAGCTACCCTTGCACTCCTGGCCCCTTCCCCTCAGAACCAACGACTGACAAGGGAGTCAGAAGAGGCCATCTCCCTGGTCTTGAGCTGGGCCCAAACTCTGTAGCATAATCTATGCTCCAGAGCTCCTGGTGGGGTCAAGATGTAGCTTAGCGACCTCCTCTGCCCTTTTCTGTCACCTGACACCCTATGTCCAACAACGGCTGAATTCCTGCCTCAGGTTCTCCTTCCACTGAACCCAACTTTAGACATTACCCAAGGTAATGTTTTAAGGTATACAACTAGTAAAAAGTAGAAACTAAACTGGTCTGCTTTTCTGTTTATCAATCCCTCACAAACAACATGTGGTTTACAAAAATAAACACTGAAAATTATAAGAATGAAAGTGAAACATACTTCTCCAAACTCAAATTCAAGGCCTTGGAACTAAACCAATTATACTAGGTAGTAAATAACATGGCAGTAAACTACTCATTTAAGGAATCATTCTCAAGTTTGCTGAACTATTTTAATT